TTTTTTGGGTTTCACAAGGAAACTGATTTGTTTGAATATGGTTGACAATGTTTCTCAACAAATATATTGTCTAAAATGATGTACACAGATTCCAAATGTATGGAAAAACAAATGAAATAAAATAAATGTTGACATTTGAAAATACTTACTAAAAATAATGGAATCGAAATATTTGGTTGAGTTAGTTGGGAAAAAGGATTATGCCAGAAAAAGTACCAAAAAGAAAATGCAAAAATTGTGTTGATTTATGAAAACAAACAAATCATTGTGACCTGACATAAAAATGAATTGATGATAGGTTGTGAATTAGTGAAATTTGATTTATATATAAACAATAACAAAGTGAAATAAAAATATGGCAAAATAATATAATCAAGATAAATGATAAAAAGTAAAAAATGAAAAACAAGAAAAATATTTCAAACCAAGCTACTTCACGACGTTTTGAATATTTCAGTTATTATCCCCGAAGACGATTGTAGATGCTAACAGCTACTTTGACTATAGGAATGTAGGCTTTCACGTCTGCCTTCAATGTATGAGTTGGTTTCCGGGTTTTGCCGTGGTCTTCTTTGGTCACAATCTCCATACGATTCAACTGCCAATGCGGCAGTCATCTTAAGCGGCGTGGTCGAAATACTGTTCTTGACTTATTAACTAATACATATCAGTTGCAGTTGAAATGTTTGGAGGTTGTAACTGATACATATCAGTTAATATGTCAGGAAGAGTATTTAGACCACGTCACTGAAAATGACTGCCGCAGTTGCAGTTGAAACGTGGAGTGGATATTGTAACCAAAGAAGACCACGGCAAAACCTGAAACCAACCAAAACAACTACTTCGAACCTGTTAACACCATTTTAGATAATGGAAGTCCGAATCCGAAATTGCATTGGTTTTGATACTTTCAAAATAGTGCTTACCAATTATCTACTACTATTCTCCTCAGGATTGTGAAATTTACTGTAGCAAATGTACTTCAGTTTAGCATCAAGGAAAGTGAAAAATGTATTAGAACCATTTGTGAAATAGAGTAAGTAAAACTGGTATTCATGTATGTAAATTAAATAGATGAGAATTGAAAACTTCATTCAACTAATTCTAAATTGCATTAACTTCCGTTTTCAAATTGTCTTTGGTAACAAATGGCGTGTATCTCTCAACATATGCCTACCAGTATTATGAAAAACATTTCCCGTCTTTTTGAACTGAGGGTGTGCCCTATTCGTTTTTATTACAAATTTTGGCTTTATAAAAATTATAACATTTTGGTATGTGGTATGAGAGAGGATGTTGTAAGTCTGTATGGTAGTGGAGTCACACTCATTTTTGAAACTTCTATTTTCTTTGAAAATGGAAACATTTGGGTGTTACTTCCTGATGAATGAACTATTTTCATATAGAACTAACGAATAATATCAATATTTTTTCAGAAAGTGTAAATTATGAATGGACTGTCTCGTTACTTGAGGAAAATTAATAACAATATCCATGATAATAATTGAACAATTTTCACAAACATTTTTATTTCTAGACGCGTTTTGGTAACATCGTGTTAGTGAAACGCGCCTACAAAAGTTTCTTTCATCGATTTTTGTACCCGCTTGAATAACAAGTTCAGCTATGTATTACAATACATGTGTTTTCCTATGTTTTTCTATCATCACTGTATGGTCACACAACTTTCAGTCAGAGCTACCTCAAAAAAGTAGAGACCAATATTTTTGGGTTTAGAACTCAAACAAACAGAAAAAAATTGATGTCAAAATACTCCTAACCATCTACGTCGTTCACGATATCTTATTAAATGCTGAAATTGCCGTCTATCGTTCCTCAAACACATATTCGCTTTTGCAATAGTGTTTTTGTGGAGTCATTGCAATGTTTCTTATTGTTTTTTTCAATTCATTAATATTGAGAAAAATGTAGAGTCGAATACCTTGTCTTTAATGAAGCCCCACAATGAAAAGTCCAGAAGAGTCAGGTGAGATGAACGTGGTGACCATTGTTTCCTATTCATCGCCCTGGCATAGTCATATTGAGATAGTTTTTTCAGATAGTTCTGCGATGTGGCGGACCTCCATCATGTGGGAAGTATTGTTATTTTCTTAGAATATTCAAGGGAAAATCATCCAACAACTCATCTAGAGTCTCCGAGAAGAACTTCAAATATAATTCCCTCGTCAAAGATGTTTCGAAAATGTAGGGTTCTATAATCTTGTTAACTAGCACACCAAGCCAAACATCAACTCCAAATCACTCTTGGAAATTTATAGCTATATATAGGAAGAAATTTTCTTGTCGACAGTGATAACAATATTTCTGTTAAGCCATCCCTAATTTGTGAATCTACTCTCATCACACTATAAAATTTCATTACAGATTTCATTAGCCAACTACAAAATATTTTGCTTCTATCATAGTCCTCTGTTAAACGCAAATGGTGGATTTTTCTGACTGACGTAGTTGATATAGCACTGTGATATGCAATGTCTCTCAATGATACTTATTTGGACTCAATTATACTTATTTGGACTGAATTATTCGTTTTTTCACAAATCCTGAATCGAATAAATGTCACTTTATTATTACTGAGAATGTCTTCTAAACTGACCCAAAACGCCAATTTTAGTATTGCCACCCTTTTTACTTATTGTACAATTCTTAATTGAGGTTTTTTTCTCAATTAACCATGATTCCGTAAACTCCTCTCAATGCCTTGAAAATAAATTTCTTTACCAGAAATTAATCTCTCCTAAAAATACACCCTTTCAATTTATATTACGATAATTTTGTGAAAATATCTATTGTTGTAATAAACATTTGCACTCTGCAATATTTTTAGACAACATGTGACCGAAGAGTTAATTTGGGGTTAATACTTCTGGAAATGAAATTTAAGAAGTTTTTATGTTTTTTTAGTTACTCTCAGTTTTTACCTCTAACCTAGTTTCTCCACCTTCATTCCGAACAGAATTATAAATATATCAAATACTATACCATTTCAAATGTATTGATAATTTCCACTAAATCACAAAGGTGGCGGCCAGAATCTTTGACACTGCATAACCCCCTTACATACATTTAGGTTCATTAACTTAGCTTCTTTGGTACAATTGGAACCAAAAGATTACTTGAAGGAGTGCTTGCATCTGCATCTAATCGAGTGATTTAGAACTCATCAATACACTTCTTCCATTTGAAATATTTTTGACATTTTCAACTAACGTTAAGTAACATGCATTTGAAAGTGATTATTATATTAAAGCACATCATTCTCATTTTTCATAATCTGTCTTCAGAAGATTAATATAAAAAAATTGTAACGAATATTTCTCAAACTTCCACACTTGTTTTCTAAAATGCCAGTCTTTGATGATGGATGCTGCTTGAAGAAATGTGCTCAGAATTCGAATATAAAAAAACAGAGTGAGTGGTTTCGAAATCAATTTCTTGTTAATTTCAAAATTGTGCACTTGCTTAGAATTTATCAAATGATTTGTGAATTCGAGAATGAACCATATGAAAACTATTAAAATTCATGCACCCAATGCCAATTTAGACCTTGCATCAAATGTCCTAACAAGCACAAAATATTCTTGATAGTTTGATTGCTTCCATGAAGTATCATTTTCCAATTATCTTAGTGCAAACAATCAAACATTGTTATCAATAGCTATTGTCAGTATATTTTATAGTCAAGATAAAACACATAAATATCATGTATTGCTTGATAGTGCTTAGAAACTAATTTCATTGAAGAAAGTTAAAGGGGTCAGAACCATACAGAATTTTATTTTTCACGAAATAATTCGGATTCTGTTTCGTTTAGAGTCAAATTTATTACATATACAGATTGTTAAAATACTAAAAAACTTACGAAACCAGAATAAATGTCTCATTCATTAGACATTTTTTGACATCTATTCCGTATTTTCTCCTCGGCTTTTCAAATGAACCAAACTCGGTGAGATTTTGATCCAATAACTTGAACATAGTTCGATGTGGTTGTCGTCTTTCGGGATATAAGTTTAAATACATTTCCGATATCCTAACACTGTTTCTATCGTATTTGTAATAAATTTGTATTATATCTCTTTTTTTTCATTCGTGAAGGCCATTTTTCGCCAAAAATTTAATGACTTGTACAATAACAAAATGTCATTGAGTGTAACAAATTGAAAGTCAAATTTAAAAACATCAAAGTCAAAGCCTATCTCTCATAGTTTCCTATTATGATAAGAATTAATTTTTTTCAATATCTCCAATTTTTTGAAAAAGAATGATAACTTATGACACATCATTGACGAGGTAAAATCTGGTTCTATTCAAAACAGAAAGAATCCAATATAGCGCCCATAAGAAAAAATAAAGCAGATGATGGTGGCCAGACGAAGAAAAGTCGGATAGCAAATCTGAAAACACCATTATGTAACAAGAAAAGTGGCAATGTGGAAGTGCAATTTATTTTCGAATCCTTCAAAAATTAAAGCAAGAAAAAAATAAAAACCATTTTCCGAAATTTCTGTTTTTTCCGGGTATACTCCGGATATACTCAAAATTTCAGAACTTTCTCAACGGTATATTGTTAGTCAGGTAAATGCGCAACTTTGTTCCAATTTAACCATCTTCGTATCTCTCATAGTTTCTGAGATCCCAATGGTGAGGATCGACTTTGAAACACCCTGTATATATATATATATATATATATATTATATAGGGTGTTTCAAAGTCTAAGTATACATATATATAAGTATAACGGGGTCTCTCAGTCAAAAAATCAAAAATCAAAACTCTGCTCTACTTTGCCAAGCTTTCACTTGTGATGGCGGTAAAAATGAGTGAAAAAGAATAAATTGAACATATAAATTGATGAAGAAAGTTAAACACGTATACATGTATACATATCCATTTTTCCAAAACTGCAAACTTTGACATTGGCTATTTTTGTTCTATGCATATCTGTTATGAAAATTCCATGTGACATTTTATTTCAGGCACGAATAATGGTCAGAGTAATAACTGGAACCGAACACGTGATACCAGAAGTCTAGAACACACTGGCTTACCAATTCGTCCTCATAACAGCGAAAAGTTTCAGTCAAAGCCTCCTAGTGGTAGAAGGCACAGTACTGTTGGTATTGAACCAGAAAAACGTTACACAAAAACATTACCGAATTTAGATAATATGCCTCCAAGATTTAGAAAGAAATTCCTTGCTGATCAAAATATTCAATCCCCAGAAGAAGGTTGGGATGGATCCAGTGTCACCTTTCAATCTCATCCTAAAAACCCGAGCTACCATCAGATGCGTGATACATACCACACGCTGCCAAACAGTCAAAACTTACATAATCAGCACCATTCCAACTCTGGATATCATACACTGCCCAACAAACAGAGAGGACGTGGAAGATTAGGTTATGAATATGAGACCCCGCCGGGGTCTCATTTCCATTGCATAACACCTGATAGGATAGGAAGTCCTTGTGATTCAAGACCTCCAACACCACCAATTAATACTAATAGAAAACCGGACAGTAGACCGCACACACCTGTCAATATTGGTAACGAGTACCAAAATTATAATAGAAGTAACAACAGGACTGAAAACAGACATTACGAAAATACCACGAACGAGGTAAGTTGGTACATGAACTTCCCTGGAATTATTATTGATATATCAGTATACAACGTTGTCCCTGTAAACCAAACCATTGATTTTTTCGGGAATTTCTCCATTTCATTATATGTTTATTGATTAAGGCTGCAGAAGGAAATTATTTTGGAGTCTACAGAGTGGCTTAAAAATGTGACATATCAAAGCTTTGTTTTTCTAATGGAACACCGTTACACTTTTGAGTAGGTCAGGAAAAAATAATATGATTTCATATGAGGTACTATGTACGTAACTATAACCATTCTCGAGTAAATTGATTTTTTTTATGAAAATGCTAGGTACAATTGGAAACTACATAACATCGAAATGTATAGAAATCATCCCTTCAAATTCTGATCAAGCATAAAGGAGGTTTTTGGCTATTGATTTCGATAAAACCCGTTTCTCAATATTATACATAATGTTCACTGAATTATCCATTGAATGTCCAAGATTTTTATTCATTCAAGAAGTTTATTGAAAAGCTTTATGAAAGCATAGGGAGATATTTTTCAGTTGCTACTAGTATATGTATGAGCTAAATTATTTTGCTACAGTTAAGTGTTTGATAATTATGAAGATCTATTTATTTGTGAATTTATTTTTTGTGTATACAGATATAATATTGAATACACAGTGAGTATAAAAGAGGAAGAAAGCATATACTTTCAAAATAAACTCTTTACAAAGATGTGTGGATCATGCAAAAAAAAATTACTTTCAGACACAAACTGGAAGAAAACGCTCTTTCAAAACAACTACTTTTATATGATCACTGAATTATACAAAAAACACATTTCTTTATTCAGTTTGTATTTTGCCTCTTTTATTTACTATATTGTGTACCAATCCTATGAATGATACCTGATTCAATTCCATAACGATTGTTTGAAATACAAACTGAATAGAGAAAATATTTTTATATAATTCCGTGTTCATATAAAAGTAGTTGTTTCGAAAGTATTTTTCTTTCGTGTTATTTATTCAATGTTTATATGAAAGTAGCTGTTTCGAGAGGTCTTTTTCTTCCACTTTTTTTCGTCTAATATGATACAACATGATTGGAAATCTCTGAAAAAATCAATAAAATGTAAAATGAATAGCTGATGACGGTCATCACCCGTTGATACTAACAATCAAAACGTCGTAAAGTATCTTGGCTTGAAATGTCATAATTTTTATTTCTTTTATATTGTTCATTTTTCAATTGTTGCTTATGTTGCTTGTATTTTATTGTATTATAATTTCATTTCAGTGTTTTTTTTGCTTAATATAATTGTTATTTTCAGCTATTCATTTTAATTTTATTGATTCTTTCAGGGATTTAATATCATTTTATAATCATATTAGATAATGGAAGTCCGAACTAATGAAATTCAACATGAAACATTGTCAACCACTTTCAAACAAACATATTTACTTCTTACTTTAAAGTTATAAGATATACTATTAAATTTTTTGCCAAGTTTTCAACATGTAAGTTCCACTGCAGATGTTCAACTATAAAAACACTCAAAAAATTTTGTTTTCTACTTTCATTTCTCTGCTGACTCACTGCACACTATTGGGTGTGTATCTATATTATATTGTTGAGTTCGAAACAAAATAATGTTGGTTTTCTGGACATTTAATATGAGATTACTTTTTGAGGACCAATTGTTTACCTCACTCAAGAAATAATTTGTTTTTTGAATTACATCCAATAAATTAGAGCCAGTTACTGACAAGCTTGTATCATCCCCATATTTAGTGATGCTGAGGGATATATCAAGGGTGCTGTAATACTTCCAAAATAGCATTTATAAAGAGAACAAATAAAATTGGGCCAGATTTGATTGTTTTCCCATCCACTGTAATTTTTACTCTTTGTTACCCATTTATATGATGTGAACCAATCTAATGCAATTCCACGAATTCCTTACCTTTCGAGTTATAGAATCAGATGTGTATGACTGAGACAATAAAAAAAGTACCTAGCAATAACTGGTTTATTTCAAATATTTTTTCCATGAATTGCATCATGGCTGTTTTTACTGATTTACCCTTGATATATAATATCCATGCTAGATAATCACAAATCAGAACAAAATTCAAAGTCTCAGTCGGTAATTATAAATTTATATTGATTGATAAACGGCCTTTGTGGACTTGTAATAATTATGATACTGGCAAATGAAATTTGTTCCTATTTCTGTTTACAATATTGGTAACATCTCTTGAAGTAAGCAATTCATATATATGTTTCTTGACTTAATGCAGCTATCAGAATGCATGGAATAGTAACCATCAATTCTGTCATTAACAAATATAATAAATCATTACTTCTGAGATTAAACATACTTCTGAGATTACTTTAAAAAATGCACCTACAATATTAGTACAGTTTTGCCAACACAAAAATCCATATGTCGAGTTAGAATTCACACAATCATAATAATACATCTTTAGGATGGATTTGAAGGTAACATTGTTCAATTGTAAAACTCCATAATTGAATAATGAAAGCTAAGTGAAGGTGATGCAATTTCTACTTTCAAAGACTCAAATTAGGAATATCAAAGCTAAATTATGCTAACTTTTTGAGATTTTTGTTGAATGGTTTACAAAATGGCAACAAATGTTTCACTATACAATAGCTTCATCAGACGTGTTCATACTAACTTCTACCTATTGAAAAAACTTTTTCCTTACCGATAAAAAAAGACTGTCTCTCGACACATGTTTTGCTAACCAAGTTAGCATCATCAGTAGATTACTAGTTTAGTGAGGAAAAAGTGTTTTCAATAGATTCATTTCTTCCACTTATTATATTCTACCTAATTAGTGCTATCTATAAATTGACAATTTGGGAATAATAACACTTAATGACTAGTAATTTTACCTGAGATTAGGTATAAACTAATTACAACTTTTAACATTAGGAAAAAAAATAAAAACTAAAATAGACTTGTGATAAAAGGAAATGTATATTGGTCAAACAGGGAGAACCTTATCCCAAATATTATATTAGCATAGTAATAGATTCTTGAATGTGAACACCAATTCCACATTTGCAAGTAATCTTTTGGCAGAGGAATATTAGTTCAATCACGACTATAACATGTTACATTTGGAAGAGAACGGTTTGAAACTCCATCTTTTGGAATGCTTGAAATCCATAGATTCATAAATTCGAAATATTTACTGAATGACCAAATAGAATTGAATAATTGCCCTGTTTGTAAAATTTCTTTTCTAATGTTCAAATTTCTAATTAGTTTATTCCCAGACTCTGGTAAAATTATTGGTCATAAGTAGGAAGCAAGTCATTTTATTCAAATTGTTAATTTATATAAAACACTAATTAGGTAGAATTCAATTAGTATGAATATGTCTGATGAAGTAAAGTGAAACACGTTGTGGTTTTGCTAACCATTCAGTGAAAATCTGACAATAAAGTGTCACATGAATATGAACATATGGAACATGATGTGACAAAAACCATCTGTATTTTGTTCGTTATAGTGTTGAAAAATTTAGTTATCTGTTTTGTGAAATATTAAAAAAAGAAGAGTAATATTTATATCACCTGAAATTTTGCAGAGTGGACCCAGAAATCAAGATAGAAGGGATACAAGTAATAGAAGAAGAGATTTTAATAACCGAAGGCATGATTATGTACGAGACGGAAACTATCACAATAGGGATAACTACAATCACGATTGGGATGATGTACCCAGGGAAACACATAATAGAGAAACACCAAATAGACGGGATGACAATAACAGAGATAGGCATCATGGACACTCTGGGAGAGATAACAGACGTGGTAGAGGAAACTACACAAAAGATCGAAGAAGAGACAATAGAGATAATAGAAGAGAAAGAGACATGAGAAGTTCGAATAGAGACTACAATGATACTCCCAAATATTCTACTAATGAGGAGAATTGGGACGACGAAATTGGAAACAACACCAATTTGGAGGAACAGAGGCCAAGTTTGCAGTTGTCCCCTATATCTCCTGAAGAGAAATTTGAACCCATTGTTATTAATCCAGATGTTAGTACAACTTTGGTGAGTGACACAATTATATTTATTGACTTCTAGTCGTATTCAGTACATATGTATTGGTGAATAGTGAAGTCCTCAATGAAATAATATTTTTGGGAACTAGGTGTGAAGATTTTATTCAGTAAAAAATCTGTACTTTGAAAATTTTTGTCATACTACATTGAGTTATAAAAATTGCATAGCAAAAAATATGGAAAACTCTTTCCAACAAGATATCACATGAGGAAAGTAGGTAGGTCTGAAGTGAGTTGGTCAATTAAACCATCCACAGCAACCCGCGAGGCTTTATTGTGGCTCACACCTATTGAAACTTGAACAAATAAGTCTGGCTTCTTGAAGATTATTACTTTATTTGCTTTCCTTAGGTTGATTGGGCTAAAGTCGTAAACTGAGGGGTTTATCATGGCTTACCAGAATGGAGACTTCAACACCTTAGTTTACCGTAGTCATGTGATGGTATAGTGGTCCCAAAACTTGTCTAAAGCACTTGTTGTCGGCATGTTCAGCAAATGCGGTCTAAGCCAGTATACATTGACATGAAAAGGCATTTTTGAGTGCTATATTATAATTTTCGGTGTTGCCTTATGCTCAGAACGATTTTGAATCTGTTGTGTGAAATGCGGAGTACCGAATTTATTGGGACTATTGATTCACCACCCTTAGTCTCAAACAAGATAATAAGCTTGATGTAGTTCTTTTTGATCAACTTCAAGCAGACTGGTTTGCCGCAATACGACAGAAATCTTGGATGGAAAATGCAGAAGGTTATCATCCTCACCTCATTCTCTCACAACTTCTTCGGTAAAACAGTAATGATAATACTATTGATTTTTGTTGTTAAAAGCCTTAAATTTATTTTTCAAAAAAGTACACAGAAGCAAGAAAGTACGCCCATAAGGTGTATACCATTACAATATAATACCATAACAATGCTCTCTGGAGTATGAAAACTCTTTGTGGTAGAAGATCCTGTACACATATATGAGAGTTGATTGTTACTCAGCAAGACTTTATTGCTGCATAACAATATGTGAGTTTGTGATCTAATTGTGAGTAATTGTTAAACTAAACTATTATTTTCCAACATACTGTTTTGTTGAAGTTGACTGATATATGCTTTGTAAATCATTTTAGCAATTTCTGCAAGTATTATTGGGGTGTTTGCTTTGAAAACTAGTGCAAATACAATTATATGTATCAATAAAAGATTATGACAATATTTTATTACATAGTTAGCATAAATTGGAAAGGAAAGTGGTTCAAGTATGAATTTTTGACGAACATCCTATTTTATTGTTAATGATTGACTGCACATCTTGAACAAAGACTTGTTTTCTACTTTCCAGATATGACTTTATTTCTATACTCCTCGCACTTCAAGTCTATGAAGTCCTGATCCATTTTTCCATATAACTAACCTGTACATTATCATACTTGAACATTTTCTTTTTTCCAGGATTGGAGTGAAGAAGTTGAGTTGAACGACAAGCTGGAAGCAGAGTATTTAAGTGATGCTCTAACAAGGAGTTCATCAATGGCGAGCCTCCAGAACATAAGCACAAAATCTTTGCTACCTCATTTGAATGCTCTTAATTCTCCAACAAATTCCAACAGGTGGGTGATTTACTGAAAACCTCATATTTAAAAAAACATAAATGCCACTGATTTTTAATTATATTTCTGATTATCCGGATTATGTATGTTAGATTATATTTGTTCATATGTTTTCAGTAATTATATCATACTGTACTCATTCTATCATAGCTACCCAACTCGATATGCAGAGGAGTTGAGCATTCCTAAACATAAAACTATAAAATTCGAACATTCTCTCAAATATATGGGAATAAAATTATTCAATCGGTTACCAGACCATTTCAAACAGATGAACACTGTAGCATTTAAAAAAGCAGTTAAAACATTGTTTCTTTCTAAGGCCCACTATAGTATTGGCGAATTTCTCTCGGACCATCTCGACTGAATGGGTTCATGCGGCTTTGGCATGACGTATTCAATTTTTATAACTACAATTGTTTTAATTTTTGTTATTCTGACTTATTTGTATAAATTTTTATTGTATTATTTTTATCTACTGATCTACAATTTTATCGTTTGATGTGATTTTTATCTGCTTAATACTGACCTATCCTATACGTTTGTCAACGTCTTTGAGGATGAATAAATATTATTATTATTATTATTATATATCACATTCAGTGTTCAAGAAGTATCTCACTCAATGAATGAGTCGGACGAATTTTTTCCACATTGTTTCAAAATAACATAACCATTTTCTGCTAATGAAATGTCTTTCATCAGCTGCTCTGAATCGTTCTGTGAGAAATGTAAATATTTCAATCTATTCAAATTGTCACTGAAAATGTATGGGTCTGTGTTGCGACCAAATGAACATCCCAGATTGACCTCTCATAGTTTTCATATTTTCTTGGTAACAGTATGATTTTTTTTAACTGTGAAATTAATGAAGTGTTCTTTATTGAAACAACGATAAAAATTAAAACAACAATAAAAATTAATTGGCGCTCCGGGGCGACTTCATTGATTCCAGTGGCGCATTTGCTTTTTCAGCACCACATCGTCTGAAGATCTTGATCTACCAATGTCCTCTCTCTTATAAAACAAAATGTAGGTTGTTTCCAGAGGCTCCAATAAATTCAATGCATCGCCAGAACACTTCGTGACACGACTATCGTCAAACTTAAACCAATTAGAGAGCTAGTTGCTGACATAACAAAAGGCGAAGTTCAACTTAGTTAGCACAAGTGCTACTGAGTTGTTCTTCCACTCAACCTCAAAAATATTCTACCTAAGCTGAAACAAAAAAAAAGTAATACATGAAATAAAAAATAAAGATGGGATTGTTCCAATATCTATTTGGATGCTGGAGAGGATGTCCTATTACTAAGACTTATTCTGGTCTCATAATGATGAAAAGTGTATAGGGTTGGGCAGTTTATATTTTAAGTTGGATTTCGAACAGAAGTAGTTTGAATCTTTTCTGTAAAACAGAAAGTACTAGGTGGGGTAAGAGTACCCTTAAATCTGGTGATCAGTTTGTTGTATAGATTATATTAGATTTGCATTTATACTGTTTTTTGGGTTTTTATAACCTTCCACAATCTGAAAAAATAAAAGATAAAAATCAATAGTGAATTTTCTGAAGTGTAGTAAAGGGCAAACCGAAACGTTCACCATGAAAAGTTACTGCGTAATATAAACTACTGGAAAGTCCAATTAGTCAGTAACTTGTCTTATTCATGAATTTTGCCTACAAATTGAAAAAAAAAATAAATGAAAAAAAATAAATAATGGTTAACGTTTCGGAAAATAACCCTTTTCCGTTTTCAAAACCTGTGTTCACTATGAAAATCTCGTCTCAAACTGTGATATTTAAATTTTTTTTATTCACTAGTCAAACCTTGTCACTTGATACCCATATTGGAGTAGTTTTGTAGCTCCGGCCACCTTGAATTTACATCTTTTTCAAAGTGTACTACTATTCTACTAGTCAAGCCCTGTCATCTGATACTCATATTGATGTAGTTGTGAAAAAAATATATAATCCGCCATTTTGTAGCTGGGGCCATCTTGGATTTACAATAATACAGAATATATAAAATTGTATTGTCATTAAAACTAAATGTGTGTACCAAATATAAGATCAATCTATCAACAGAAAGGGGTTCAAACTTCAATTTCTAAATTTGACCAAAGAAACAAATAGGGCAAGCTAAATAAATTCGTTTGAAAATAAAAAAATCTTCCAAAAAAACGAAGAAAATAATTAATTTCAAAATAAACTCTTTACGATATGTGTAGATCAGGCAAAGAAGTTACTTTCAGACACAGGCTGATACAAAAAATATAATAAATGAACACCAACATGGCTTTATATCTGGTAGATCTACCACTAGAAGTATAATGTCATCAATAACCTAGAGGAAAAACAGAAGTTTGACTCTATTTATACTGATTTCTCAAAAGTTTTTGACAGGGTTAATCATGAACTTCTCATGGGTAACCTCTTAGCATTAGGCATCAATGGTAACATGTCAAAATGGATAAAGATCTATTTTGGAAATAAGATTCGGTGTGTTAAATGTACTGGTTCCATATCATCACAAATTTCTGTAAAGTCTGCTGTTCATCAAGGATCGCATATTGGGTCAATACTCTTCATTCTTTTTGTAAACGATGTGTCGGATGTCATACACCACACCTAATACTCAATGTTTGCACACGATCTCAAATTTTATATGGTAGTTGATAACTTTTGTGATGCAGAACTGTTATAGAACTGTTATCTCGTTGGTGTGATATAAACATGCTTCACTTAAATATAAATAAATGTTATCATATAACATTTTTAAGAACTGTGAAACCTATTGTATAAACATACAAAATCAAAAACATTAATTTAATGTTGACCAACAGCTTTCTAGACTTGGGAGTGTTGTTTGATAACAAAGTAACCTTTAAAGGTATTATTGATCACATTGTATCTAAATCACTAAAATTATTGGGATTTGTTCAATGATCCACAGACAAATTTTCTATAAATACTTTTAAAATATTGTATTGAGATCGTGTGAATTTAAGCTCGGATATCAGAGGTCTGATTATGTGTACTTCGATATTCTACCTACAGTTGTAAAAAACTTGATAAAAGATTAGTTACCGTTTTTGCAGGCTTTGTTCAACCTATAGAAATCTACAGGGTGGTCGAGTGTACCAATTTAATCGAAATTAAACGACCTCATGCATTTATTTTTATGATATTTATTATGTTATAAAAATATCCCTAGACTTTTCCGATGTGTGTAAATGGTGAAATGAACTGTCCATATGTAACACAACTGACTGACTTGAATGTAAATTCAAGAAGAAGCAGGGTTTCAGATTTGTTTAAAGTGTATTACCGTTCTACTAGCTATGTCTTCAATGAATCCATTACTAGAATGCTTAGGCTAGCAAATAAAAATAGCATCAATATTGATTTGTTTGATTCATCTTTACATTCTTTCAAAAATCAGGATTAGCATATTGACCTTCTATGAAGAAACTGCTGATTATTATCATTAATAATTTATTGATATTTTGTATTCTTGGTATTCTTTATCATTGTTCGATTGTTTATTTTTTCTCTCACACTATTTACATTTTTATAGTAAAATGACAAGTCCATAAATAAAAAAAAAATAATGCCGCCATATTGAATTCGGAGAAAATGGCTCCTTCGCCGCCATTTTGAATAGAAATGACTACATGTGTTATATCGTTGAAAAAAGAATTTTATAACCGGTCAAATGGTCAAAACAAATAAACAGGGTTTCGGTTAACCTTGTAAAGATTTTCAAGTGTTGTATCGTCAAAAATATTGGCGTCGAATAAACTATACTTAGGTTAGGATAGGTCCAAAGTGAGTGGGTCTATTCGACCCTCCACCGCAATCCGCAAGAGATTATTGTGGCTCACACCTATTCACACTCTACCAAATAAACCCAGCTTCTTAACGAAGCCGATTAGTTTGTATGGTGAGTGGTCTTTCAGGTCAGATGGTAAAAGTACCACTCTGTCAAACTCTTAAAACCTGATTCGGTTCCCAGCGGGGCAGGCACATAGTATGTGCTCTGCTATTTCATCATTTTCCAAACAGAGGCGACGCACACTGTCTTCCGACAGTCCGAGTCTTTGCATAATATGATGATTCAAATGACAGTGATCTGTAAGAAGGTCTGTTAGACATTGTAGTTCATCCCTACTGTAGTCCGACAACTGTTTGATATCAAGCTTCGAAGGGTGAATAAACGCCTTGGGTGAGCCAATCCTGGAGAATTCTGCCAGAAGTCCATAAATCCTCTTGCCATCCAGGTGTTCAATCTTTGTTTGCAAAGCCTAAAATGATGTCAATAACAGGTTCTGATCCGATGAAGCTTCTTGCAGCACCCTCCTTTCAGCCGCCTCATTGCCTTCCAGGCCAGTGTGGACAGGACTGTCCGATAATATTTTTATTGACTTGTGTATGAGATTGTATTCTTCCAATCTCTCCGCATACAATTCAATAGCGTAAATTTCCGCCTCAAATACAGTCGCATAGGTTCCTAGGCAGGTTGATTTCTCTGTCCTGGGTCTGCGACTCAAAACACCTGCACCAGAACCGGAAGGTGTTTTGAACTATCGGTGAACCAACAACTATCTACTCGGGATCAGTACTTTATAAAGCAGTTCGTAGTTGACAGTTGTAGGCATAAAGTCAGGGGTCATTTCCAGAATGCTGTGACTTCCAGTGTCAACCAATAGTCTGTTGCACTCTGCATTAAATTGATTTGGGCAATTGGCAATGTGCACAAGTCTATATGCAGTCTATTTAGCCTTCCTCTCCAGAAAAATGTGGAGAGGAGGTGGATCTAGAAGGATCTTTGTGGCCGCTGACGGTGTGGTACTGATGGCCAAACAAGCCTGTCTCTGTAAGCCAGAGAGCTTCGCCTGGGCCGTTTTCTGTAAAGCCTTTGGCCACCAGGCAATTGCACCATAAGTATCATTGGTCTGACAATCATCACATAAATACAATGGATTTGTTTGGGACCTTAAAACCCCAAGATTCACCACAAATCCTTCGACATGTCCATAGGGACAGTCTGGCTTTGTGTAAAACTTATTTCAAGTGAGCGTTTCAGGTGAGTTTTTTATCAAGGACAATGCCAAGATATTTCACCTCCGTTCCAAATGGAATGACCTCACCATTGAGGAAAAGTGGCGTTAGATCATCCAATTTTCTCCTCCTGGTGAAGGGGATTATCAAAGTTTTGCTGGGGTTGACAGGCATCAACTGTGAACAACGTCCAACGTGTTTTGGAGGATATTACAAGCTACCCTTCCCGACGTGGACTTTGCCAAGGTCATTTGCATAAGTTTGCAGATCTACTATTCTTCTGTCGAGGGCATCAAGCAGACTATCCATCAGGAGCTACCACAGAATGGGAGATAGTACCCCACCTTGAGGGCAGCCTTTATGACCCTGAACTTCGCCTTGAAGAGTCGTAGTGCTTTGGAGGATATTACAAGCTATCCTTCCCGACGTGGACTTTGCCAAGATGACAAGGTCATCTGCATAAGTTTGCAGATCTACTATTCTTCTGTCGAGGGCATCAAGCAGACTATCCATCAGGAGCTACCACAGAAGGGGAGATAGTACCCCACCTTGAGGGCAGCCTTTGGTGACCCTGAACTTCGCCTTGAAGAGTCGTAGCGGCAGTTCTGTTTACCAGCATGGTATTGATCTAGAAAGTTATGGTCGATTATATACCTTTCCTAGCCAGAGATGATCCTATAGATTCAGATGATCCTATAGATTTAGGTAGTGCAGTGTCAAATGCTCCTTCAATATTGAGAAATACAGCAACTGCATTCTTTTTGTTGTCAAGGGATTGAGATATTTCCTCTACACGGTTGTTTAATGCTAAATCTGTCGATTTACCGGTTTGATATATATACTGGTGGTTATTCAGGGAAATGCATATAATGCCACCCTCCTGATGTGTCCGTCAACCAACTGGGTGGTATATAGTTCCACACCAGACTAGCTCTATACAATTTTATGAGAATAGGTAAAATTATTTCCAGTAAGTTTAAAAGAAGAGCTGGAAATATACCATCCTCTCTAGGAGATTTGAAGGGCTGAAACGACTTGATAGCCCATTCAACTACCGGTGCTGTGATAACCTTCTTGACAACCTCCCAATCGTTCTTTTTTGGGCGTTTAGCGCCCTCGAAGATGGGAGGTATACTTACCTTTATTTCGAATTTCAAATTTCTTACCTCATAAACAACCAAGTGGAGCCGTGTAGAGTGATTTAGTTGTAACCCAGTATAGAGAGGGTAATGTCAGTGGATCATGAAGATCAAATTCGATTGATGTGTCATCTAAATTACTCAAAATGTTATCAATACAACTAGACTTCTAAGGAGTTATCGAATATGTGCATCAATTTTGATAGAAATTCCTTGGGAATTCAGTATGCATTTAAGATTACTGAGTGATGACGAGGTAGTACTTTCCAA